GCACCCATTCAAAGACAGTACTCTAGTTTCCCTGCCCTGCCTCCTCTGGTTGCAACCTGCCTCCTCTAGCGGGCACCCACTCAAAGATGGTACTCCAGTTTCCCTGCCCTGCCTCCTCTGGTTGCAACTTCTGAGTGGGCACCTGCCAGAGGAGGGAGAGCTGGAAAGCACCGAGCTGAAAAATGAACCAGCATGAACCATTGGTTCAGCAGTATGTGCCCATCTCTACTTTGTCTTATTCATTTTAAAAAGTAACCCTGCTTTTACAATGTAAAATAAATTCAACAAAGCCTATAAAAAAGCTTAAAAAGGAATGTTTCCGCATTTTAGAATGCCCCAGCTATAGAGACTAAGTTTGTAAATTAAAATAATGGATAAGATTCCACCCCACTCACCAAAAAGAGACAGTTCAGTGAAGACTGAAAATGCTTGGCATCCAGTGTCTCCCAAATTAAAAGGAATGCTGGACATGTATGTGTACAGGGGGAAATCAAAAAGCTGGGTTGGTGCCTCTAGGGAGAGATTCCTGGCCTGCTGGAGTTCCTGACAGCTTATTGTAGCTTTGCGGAATCTACAGTAACTGTAAAAGAACCCTGAGTTCCACTCACCAATGCAAAAGATGTGCACATATAAATAAATAATTCTACACTCTTGAATTTCTTTTGAGTGCTAGAACTGAACAGACCTCACAGTCCTTCAACATAAAATTCCCCGTCTTAGGTACCCCAGGGTTTTCTTCATTTCACTGATATAATTTAGGACATGCGCAGAGGAACTTCATTTATTGTTGCCACTGTTAAACAACTAGGAACCTTGCTGATCGATTGTAAATTACTCCAAGATATATCAATATATCTACCTTCTGCCCTCTCTTATTATATGTCTCCCTGAAGGAGAGATTCTGGATAGGAGTGCTTCTGTTAGGAATGTCAAAATACTGCACATTTTATTATTGCTCTTGATCCATTAATAGGAGAATGGTGGGCTATAGCAAGCAGCAGAACAGGCTCATCCTGGTCAGTTCTATACACTGGAGAAATACACCTTCTATATGAAGGAATATTGGCACTTCCACCACCCCCTGAAAGAGCCCGAAAGAGGAAAGCTAAGTGGCACACAGGCACACAATTTTATGCTGCTATGGCTAGATAGTTCAGTGGTTTAGAGTCTGAGAGCAATTCACCCCACAGTGCCTCCTGTGAATAGGGTCAGCCTGTGTAGCCTTGGGCAAGCTGCAGAGTCCCAGGATGCCCGCAGCAGAAGAAAACGGGAAACCACTTCTGAGTACTAGAAAACCCTGGAAAGGGTCACCATAAGTCAGAATTGTCTTAACAGCACATGATGATGATTATTTATGGCAATACCACAGTCAAAATTGAGAAAAAAAATATTGTTGCTGTTACTTGGGACTGCAGCTACCAGAATCTCCCAACCAGTGCTGCTATTGGCTATATATGTAACGGAATTTGGGGTGCTGTCATCCAAAAACTAACTTTTTAAAGTTCTAGCCACGGCATTATGAAGGCAGGGCTTAGGAGCAAGCCTTCAGTGTACAGGAGCAAGTGAAACCTGCTGTGTTCTTCCCTTCAGCCTACGGTCTCATGGAAGGAGGCAGACATACTGAATTAGGATTCATCCCAACAAGGTGTGTTGCTTGGACTGATGTAGTCTGCAATGGTGACCTCCATGCCCTCCCCCTAGGCATCCATACTTGTAATTCTTCTTTGAATGTAATCCCAGCTGTGGTGACCTCCATGCCCCCCAGGCATCCATACTTGTAATTCTTCTTTGAATGTAATCCCAGCTGACTTTCCATCTTATCGTCTCCTTAGCATCCCACCCTTGGAAGGGACACACGCAAGCCCTGCTCTTTTATGGACAATGGGAGAGGGAAGAACTTTCAGAACTGGTAGGGAAAGAAAGGTGCAGGAAACAAACCCCTCAAAGAAGTTCTGCTAAGCATGCAGGTGAAGCAAAAAGGCAGTTGCTGGGGAGTTTTCTCATGTAGCAAATGTTTGTTGCTTTCTTGGTGACATCAACTAGCTATCCAGGGCAGGGCAAGAAGGTGGTGGTGGTGGTGGGGGTTTCATGCCTTTCTCTTCTGCTCCATGAGGAGACCACTTCCATCGCCTAAACAGGTCTCAATCAATGGGCAACCGAACTCCTTTTAAAACAGGAATAGGATGTGTAGACAGGCTTTTAGACCAGCACCTCTTATCATGTAGTCTATGCTTTACTCCCCCAGCTACAGAGTCTTAACTTGTGTGGCCTTAATTCAAAATTTAATGACATAAAACAACATCAATGCATTAAAATCAAAGCAACAACCAAAGCAAAGCATGTTGTTTATATATTGCCGGAGTCTTAAGGTGTGAAGGGAGTTTGCCCTAGTCCTAAAGGACGACTGTGAAACAGTTAATTGGAATTGCCTTTAAAAGCAGTGACCACAAACCAAAGGAATCTCCCTGTTGGATGTTAATGATTTGTATCCTAAGCTGTGAAGGGTACAGATATATTTTCTGAGCAGATACAGGGATTTGCAAACCTCACTGACAATGTGCGTGCCCAGGCATTTTCAGATCATTCTTCCCTCCCCCATGAAACAGAACTTCTTTTATGAGGCATCAAAGGGAAAAACCTTGCCCTGAGCTTAACTGTAAATCCATTACAGTCAAGTTAACATATAGCACTTTTAGTACTACTTCAGTGTATAACTCTTTCTCCTTGCGTGGCCTTAATTCAAAATTTAATGACATAAAACAACAAAGCAAAGCATGTTGTTTATATATTGCCCCATTGTGCTTAAAGCACTCTCAGGATACTCAATTTACTGACTGTGGAAGGATGGACGGATGAGTGAACCTCAAGCTGGCTACCTGGAATTGAAACCAGGTTGTGAACAGAGTTTTAGCTGAAGCACTATAGTTTAACCATTGAGCCACGAAATCAAGATTTATGCACCTGAGATAGCCATTCGCATTAAAGCTAAATGGCTGCTTCCTGGGATTTTTTCCATTTACAATGGTCTCAAGGGTACCAGTGTCCAAAGATATATTTGGCATATGACCAAGAGATGGGGGATTGCAACCATGGATTAAAAGTCCTGAGATGTTTTGACTCTGCCCATTTGCTGTTCAGTAGCCATTCTCTGATAATTCGCCTTTACATTTACACAACCACTGCAAGGATTTCCTCAGCCAACACCATCCACATCAGATTTGTTTGGTTGTTCTCTCACTCTCGCCCTCCTGTAGCTGAGATCACCTGCAGCTTTCCCATTACCTGATTATGGACTGCATCAAACTTCTCCAAGCATCTCCTCCCCGTGATCTGTCCCTTACGTCTAGCAAGCAATCTATCGTTTTAATCCTATCATCTCCAGGTAGCATTGCCCTGAGCCCATTTCTTCTTTTAGTTCCCACTAGCACCACTGCAAAGTTCCAGCTGTGGAAAGTGGGAGAAGCAATCACAGTTAGGACTGCAGTGAGAGAAATATTACAATAGCCATGTGGTAATTCCACACCAACAGTCATACTAGACTTATCAAAGCAGGAAGTTCTAAGCACTGTAAATAAGGTAGAGAGAAACTGTGGCAGATATTTGTTGGATACCTGACTAACACAATACATGTGAGTCTATACAACACCACCATAAATGCTAGCTTGTAAAATCTAGTCACAGACACTGGAGCTTATGGGACAAATCTAATTTTATTCACAACAAGAGCAAAGCAACAGAATCAATAAGGACTTGCACAGTAGGTGTTGATTTAACAAGTCCCATTCATTCACTGTGTCTACCTGTAGTTGGCATTAACAATTGGATTTAGCCTTTTAACTTTACTTCCAGTGTTATGTTCAAAGCCACAGTGTTTCAGAAGTGACAGTAATAAGACTCTCAGAAGTAAGAGTAATAGGACTCTTGATTTTTCTCCCATCCAATGATAAAAGCAAACAAACTGGTTGAAACTATTAATGGGAGAATGAGAAATAAAACTCCTGCTCAGTGACACAGCACAGACTCTGTTCAGCCTCCAGTGTCTGCAAGCATTGCTGGAAAACATTGCTGCTTAAACAATAAAGAGACTCTATTCACAATTGACAACACTGAGATGATGTACCAGTGGATACATTTAACATAATGCATCTTTCTGTGTTTCTGATAATTACATGCATGTTTCAAGCACTCAGCAACAGAATTAGCAATCTCTTTCTTATTCTGTAAAAATTATTTGCTACTTATACATGGATTTTATTTTGAAGGCAAAGGTAGCTAGTCAAAATCCAGGGGCTCATCATTTCACATTTGCACTGGACCAATATAAATAGTTTGTTTTAACCCAACCCACTCATGTACTAACTCCACATCCCAAACTCCCTTCCCCTAAAGCAAACTATAGTACATAAAATGTTAATACTAAAGAAGATGAAAAATTTAATAATGAAAGGCCACAGAGAATCAATCAAATGCAATCACAACCTCAAACAGAGGATTTTGAGGTATCTGTCTAACAGATAAGAAATAGCAAATATCATACTCCCAATAAAAATAACAATATGTTTCTTTAACTGGTGTGATTGGTGTGCTCCAGTTTGCTTCAGATCATTACACTCAACACTAGATCACTTCCAGTTTTCTACAATGTACCGTGTATGTATTTGTGATACACCGGAGCTTTGTGTACAGTAGATAACAGGCATAATTTTTGTGTTTTGCATGTAACCAGATGTCAACATCAAATGGAAGCAAAAACCCCAGATGAAACTGTCACCTGCCCATTTTAATTCCCCAGTAATGTCTTTGGGCCTGTGACACAGCATGGAACATGGCCTCCAAACAATAACAAGAGACACTATCAATGTACAGAGTAGAAGGGAAATGTAAATATTGCCAGGGATGGGAAGGAAAGACTCAGGTTCCATAAAACCAGACACCAGTCTTAGGCCTTAATATCTGGCTAGTTTAAGTGACTTGTAGGCCATTCAAACAAATGAATTCTTCTGTATGTAATTTTAGTGTAGTAACTATAATCTATGTGCTAAGTAGGCAAACGTATGGTTAGCACTTGCCTCCGAAACATGATTTGAAACTGTAGCAGCCAACTGCTGTTTGGAAGCAGCCCTGGTATTTCACAACATGCTTTGCCTGATTCAGATATTAGTGCAAACTATGGCTAGAGGTGACTGGAAAAGGAAGGAAAATTGTTAAAAAGGACAGCAGAAAAGAGAAGGAAAGAGCAAGTATGGAATGTATGAGCTTAGAGCTAATTTTTGATCCTTCAAACCAGTTGTTCAGACAGTCTCAACTGTCTAGAAACAAAGTAATTCCAAAATACATCTGCCACATAAAGAAACCTAATCAAACATAATGAATGAGTTAATGATGGAGGAAGAGCCTCAGAAAACAGTAGGTCTATAATGCTATAGATGCAGTATCAATAATGTGCTGTATTAATCTGCCCAAGGCTTGAAGTATTAATTTCCAAGATCTGCATCTGCCTTTCTACTGTACATTCATTACACATAGATTTATTTCCTCTGTTTATATCCTATAAATGCTTGATTGCTGATCTGGAATGTTACAAAGAAGTTGGAACACTTAATTTGCATGTGGTCCAAATGGTGTGGGTTAGCAGCAAAACACATTCTGTGGTCCATGTAGCAAATAAAATACAGTACATGAAATATACAGATTCGGGATTAAAACAGACTGGCCACAAGTTCAAAGTCAGTAGCAATACCACATCTTTTGTTCCAACAAGTTCATCTCTCGCTCAGACTAAAATAACATGCAATAATCTACAAAGAAAGAATGCCAATTCACTCATCAGTCAATTTGTACCTTCAGAGAAACAAATGACATTCCTCTTTCACTTGAGGACTCTCACAAATCAGACCCTCAAGATGGAACCATAATCCTCAGTCAACAAACAGGAATAGTGTGCTTGCATATATTTTCTAAAACGACTGGCGTTAGCAGTAATCTTCTGGTGCAATCACATCATACTAGTTTTCAGCACATATGCTTAAGAGGTCTGGTGTCTCTGAGTTGTTCGAAGTATACATCTGGACATTTTGATGATTCTAGGATAAAAAGAAGTAACCCAGTCCCAAATTTTTTACTGGATCAAACATTTTCAGTCACTGTAACAACTGTTTAGAACATGTCACTTTTCCTTTTTTGCTCACTGATCCATACTCCCGCATTCATATCTACGTGTAACATCTTCATTACCCACTTGTCTTTCTGTGCCCCATCAAGGAATTCATCCAGAGACAACTGCCCTAAATAACCAAGGAAAGATAGAAGAAGTTACAGTGTTATCAACAATACCCCCTCATACTTTATACATAGGAATCCCCAAAAAGGGTACCCATAAGACAGAATAGACTTGACAGCACACATTTAGAAACCTGGGATTTGTGATAAACTTAGCTACTTATTATTCTCACCTAAAGAGAATAATAAGAATTAAGATTGC